TCTGAACCCAGATATGGTGCTCTGAAATCACTGGGTTCAGTGACTCCTAAATGAATGAAGAAAAAATGTCAAATTATTTACTTACCAAGTAGACATTGCTTGCCGACTGCAGTGAATAATATAAGTGAACAACGAAAGGGCTTTTGCTTAGTGCCAGTGCATCTCTCTCTGCTTGTACCTGATGAGTCATATTTTTGTTGATCATGTCTGCTTTTTTGACAACCTAAAATAGACAACATGACACCAGACTCATTTATTTTATTTTTTATTACAAAGTGTTCTCAGGTTTCAAAATTGCCATTATAAAAACACAGAGAGGGAACATATATACATGTCATTTGGACCTCACACTGCCATCAAGAAACTGTCAGAAAAATAGTTAAGGTTAAAAAAATCCTTCAAGATAGAGCTGCTTATTTTGGTATTAAGTGGCAAACATATCACATCCCTTTTGAGAAAGAAAACTAATTAAATACTACCTGACTACCCTGCATGTAAAGAAAACAAAATTTTGTTTTGCTATTCTTATAACAAAGTCAAAAGATCTTATAGGGCCAGACATGGTGGTTCACGCCTGTAATCCTAGGACTCTGGGAGGCCCAGGCAGGAGGATCCTTTGAGCTCAGAATTTCGAGACCAGCCTGAGCAAGAGCAAGACCCCGTCTCTACTAAAAAAAAAAAAAAAAATAGAAACTAGCTGGAAAACTAAAAATATATATAGAAAAAATTAGCTGGGCATGGTGGCGCATGCCTATAGTCCCAGCTACTCAGGAGGTTGTGGCAGTAGGATTGCTTGAGCACAGGAGTTTGAGGTTGGTGTGAGCTGGGCTGATGCCACGGCACTCTACCGTGGGCAACAGAGTGAGACTCTGTTTCAAAAAAAAAAGATATCCTAGTAATGTTCCTAATAAGCCCCAAGATAATCAGGAAACTGGGCACAGCATAATAGTACCTAAAATTTGTTTTTACTTCTGATTCTTTGATGGATAGGAAGACAATCAGAAAGAGGAAGAGTGTTGGAAATTTGTTTGCCTGGAAAAAAAATCTTTTTTTTTTTTTTGAGACAGAGTCTCGCTTTGTTGCCCAGACTAGAGTGAGTGCCGTGGTGTCAGCCTCGCTCACAGCAACCTCAAACTCCTGGGCTCAAGCAATCCTTCCTCAGCCTCCCGAGTAGCTGGGACTTCAGGCATGTGCCACCATGCCCGACTAATTTTTTTCTATATATATTAGTTGGCCAATTAATTTCTTTCTATTTATAGAGATGGGTCTCACTCTTGCTCAGGCTGGTTTTGAACTCCTGACCTTGAGCAATCCACCTGCCTAGGCCTCCCAGAGTGCAAGGATTACAGGCGTGAGCCACCACACCCGGCCTAGAAAAAAAATCTTAAGCAAAAATGATTAGAACCACTGAAACTTAATAGTCCCAAATGCTGTCTTACAGAAAACTAATCAATTACTCTTCAAGTTTCATAGTAATTGGTACAAAAACAAAAGTATAATCTATAGTTGGAGCACTAAACTGAATAGTCAAAAACATTGGGATCAATTCTCAGGACTACTACAAGAAAAAATAGGCACATTTCTTTAAAAGACTCATTAGAGTATTTAATAAAATCATCAATACATGGTAAATTGTAGCCTTACCTCTTTTCTTCAAGAAAACTGAGGAAAATTGACAGAGCAAGCCTACAATATGTTTCACCTATCATTCCACTGGCTGATATGGGCATGTTTATTTTGTTGATCACTGTGCCTCAGATCCTATGCACAAAGGGGAAGCTAATGAAATATTTACTGAACAAATGAAATGGTGCTTTGATTTCAACAACTAATGATGACTGATTACTAAGTATTGTAAGAGGAAAAGCAAGTCTTGGGAACATATAAAGTGAGTAACAGTTCATTTCAATGGGATGGGTTTAAGAGATCACGGAAGGTTTGAAGGAGAACTTAGATTAATCTTAATCCACGAATAAGATATGAGATGAAAAGCAAAATAGGGTAGAGAAAAGCACTTAAGGAGGAACCAGCATAAATATAAGCTCAGTGGCAAGAAAATACACAACATTAAGGGATGAGTTAATTGTCTAGTGTGGCTAAAACACAGAGTATATGAAGACATAGTGGAAATCTAGAGCCAGAACTTGGAGCATGACGGCTTTTCTAAGGACTTAGAACTTTAGCCTGCATGTCATGGCCTAAGGAATGAATGAAAAAAGAAAGAAAATGATTCCAGTTAGGAGGTTATTCCAATAGATTAGGTATGCAAATGAAGGCCAGATAAACCTCAAAAATATCATGTCAAGTGAGAAAAGCCAGATGCAAAAGAACACATATTATATGATCCCATTTACATGAAATGTCCAGAAAAGGCAAAGCTATGGAGACAGAAAGTAGATTAGTGGTTACCAGGGGCTATGGATATTCATGCAAGAGGTACTACAGATGGGCAGGAGAGATATTTTCTGGGCTATGGTACTATTCTAAAATTAGATTATAGCAATGATTATACAAGTATTGGATTTACTAAAAACCAGTGAATTGTACCATTATAAATAAATAAGTAGAGAGAAAAATGAAGGTCTGTAGTTGGACAGAGACTTGAGAATGGAAAGGGCTAAAAAGAATGACTATAAGAGACAAAATTAACAGAAATGATTGAGATATAATTGATATAGAGATCAAGTAAAGTTAAAATGACTTAGGTTTCTGATCAGGCATGGTGTCTCACACCTGTAATCCTAGCACTCTGGGTGGCAGAGGCAGGACAATTGCTTGAGGCCAGTTTAGGACCTGCCAGAGCAACAGCAAAACCTGTCTTTACAAAAAAAAAAAAAAAAAAAAGCAGGGCGTGGTGGTGTATGCCTGTAGTCCCAGCTACTTGAGAGGCTAAGGCAGGATCATTTGAGCCCAGGAGTTTGAGGTTGCAATGAGCTATGATGATACCACTGCTCTCTAGCCTGGGCGACAGCAAAACTGTCTAAAAAAAAGAAAAGAAAAGAAAACAACAGACTCAGGTTTCTAGCCTGAAGGACAGAGATCATGGTGGTGCCATTAAATGGAGAGAGAAGACAGGAGGTTCACAGTTTAGGTGGTTAGGTAGAGAGGATTGCTTAAGGTTAGGCAACTACAATTTGGAAGTGTGGGCTATAGATATAGATAACCACTTGACAGCGTCCAACAGGAAGATGAAACAAAATGGACAGACTGATGGCTTCTTTCCTTTCTCACCTTCACTCAGTGCTGAAATATGAGCAATCTGAAACCATGGGAATACATGAGAACCAAGTATGGACAAAACAGCTTCAAATATATGTTGAATGTTTTTAGAATGATATATACTGCTACATGAATAATGGACTGATTTAGGACGTGTTTCAGCTCACTCTCTAAATAAAAGAACATTCTTTCTATATTTCACAGTGGAAGCTATGAAGAGGAAAAACTGAGGTTCATTTAATGAGATCTGTTGGTTATATAGCAGGTCAGAAATTAACCTACATGAAACTGACAAAATCAGAATATAATCTGGAATAACTGTTAAAAGTTAATGAAAGTTCCAAAGGTAATCCTTGTAAAGGCCAAATTAGTGAAAAGGTTCCAGAAGATACATAAAACGAAAAGATAATACTAACACTTAAAAATTTCATAACAGACTTATTAGAAAATAGAGCAGCTTCCTCACAGAGTCAAACTTCAAAAGTCAGTGCCTACAAAGTAATCAAGCTTCTGTGGTAAAAATATTACAGGGATTCTGTATGTCAAAGCAAACAAGCAAGGAAAACAAAACTACCAATTACTTAAAACTTTTTGGATTTAGAAACCTGCCTCAAGTCTGGTTACACTATGAATCAGGGTTTGGCTTTCCATCCCAGTTGTACTAAGGCCGACGTGATCACCTCAGTCAAGTCCGTTTGCCTTTGGTCCCAGTTTCCCCATTTGCTAACACTGGTCAGGAAGAAGGGTCAATCTTTGCTCCTCTAACTCTGGGCAGTGAGTCCTAAGCATCCGAGATAAAGACAGAAGGTGGAGCAGAGGCGAGATGCCCGACCCGACCCCCTTCTGTCACTCCAAATGAAGAAGCCAGCTCCCAGGGCTCTGGAGGCTTCGGCGAGCCAGGCCCCCCAGACTGGTCGCTCCAGCAGCCCTGGAGCCTGGTCAAATTAGTGGACAGGAAGGAGTGCCGAGGGCCCAGACTCTGTCTTTCTTTCCTCTTCCTTGACCTCCTACCTTCACTGCATACAACTTGCTGCCTTTCTGCCCCAGGTACACTTTTCCGAAGGCGCCCCGGCTAATGGGCTTCACTATATCGAATTCCTCAATGGAGGGCGGTCTTGGCACCGGGATCCTATTCGCGCACTCCCCTGTCGCCGCGCCTCCTCCGCTCCCCTTCTCGCTTCCCGCGGTGGGCTCCATCGCTGGACAGCGCAGACGGGAGCCTGCAGCAGGCCAGCGGCCCAAGCCCCTGTGCCAGCCGCCACTCCCGCCAACCCGGTTCAAAGTGAGGCTCCGCCCCCGCCGCGCGCGCTGGCCGTGACGTCACCGCGCCGCCGCGGCGAGCTCAGCGCAACCCCGCCTCCCTCACCGCCCTGCGTAGACGCGGGAGGGCTGGGGCGCCGGCAACGCCTAGAACCTGCTGCAGGCTCTTCGAGATCCGTGACCACCGCCCACTGACATCATTTGGAATGAGGGAGGAGGCAATAACAGTGCTCGGCCGGCCGGCAGGAAAGGGGACGCCCAGGACCTGACTTGGAATCACGGGATTTGAAGAGATTTCTCTCGGCCGGCCGTTCCCCCGCCCCCCACCTCGTGACCTCCCACCGCCGGGAGAAATAAAAGCCAGTTCGGACTGTCCAGTAAAGCTATGGCTAGGGGTGAGGTTTGGAAGCTAGTGAAGCCACAGAATGTGGAGAAACTGGATGAGCAGGAAGCGGATGGCTGGCCCCGTAACCTCACACTTTCACAGGATGTAATGTGCCTGACTGAAACAGGTTAAGACCGACAGGAAGAATTTTCGATTTACTGTGAGCAAGATAAAGAGCAGCAAGCTGTAGCTAAAGCCTTTATGGCTCAAGGGTCTGTCAGATTTAATAAGTTGTAGAAAGTCTGAGAGGTTCGATAGGGTGAAGGCTGTTCTCCCCTTAAAAGAAGTCTACAGCGGGAGAGCTTCGGGGTTTGTGTTCCTTGTAAATACCAACTACTTTCCGGGCTGGCGGCGGGGGTAGAAACGCCCGCAGCGGAAAGGGCAGAGCGTTGGTACACAGCGGGGGATTGGTGCTCGCTTACCCCGGAAGTGCTGTTGCGGTAGAGCTTTGCCTTCCGGGTTAGAGTGGCTGTCGTTGCAGCAGCTGTAGGAAGGGGAGGCCATTTTCCATTTCTGGGAGGAGTGAGGGGCAGGGGTGGGAGAAGAAGAAGGAAAAGGGCTCAGCGCCTCCCCGCCGGGCCCAGGACAGAGGGGCATTTTCGGCTGGCGGGTGAGGTCGCTGAGAGCCCGAAGAGATGTTTTCCCTGTCGAGCACGGTGCAACCCCAGGTGAGCCCAGCTTTTAGCTCATTTTTTTTCGGCCCTGCCCGCGGGTGTTTGCCAGCTTCCTTCGTAGAAGCTGCTTCGCAGAAGGGACCCTTAAAAAGAAGGCGATTAACCCTACGCGAGTCCGTGGGTTGAGAAGTGGGTCTGGGGACAACGCTGAGAGTCGGGCCCGAGACTGAAAGGGCTGGCGATGAAGCTGTTGGGGGCAGAAGCGTGATATGAGCGTGATGGAGACCTTGGCTGATCGAACTGATTGCGTGGAATTTCTCCTGGAGAAGCTATCAGGCATTGTTCAGTGTTGGGAATTCTGGGGTGGGGGTGGGGAAATGTCTTCGCTGTAGATGTAAAGGGAGCAAGTAAGAGTTTCCCTCCCATCCTTCCGACTCTCCAGAGGCTTTAGTATTCACAGCCTCGATCCCCTGCTCTTTCTTTGTTTTTAAGTGGAATTTAAATTTAACCTAAACAACATTTTTTTCCCTTTTTGACCAGAAATGATTACTATATGTATTTTCCAGTCTTTAAATGCTTGTAGTTGGAATTTTGAATCAGTCTCATCCCCATCTTTTTTGTAAACCAGAAGATGGGGGAGAGAAAAATGACTCGAAGGGTTTTTATTTTCTTCTTTCATGGTAATTAGTTGTGACAATGCTTTGTTCTTCATTCAAAATCTCTTTTGTGGATGGTAACACTTTGATAGGTTTTTGAGACATCACAGTTTTGCAAATAAACGGTTTCTAAGAACATTCAGACTTTTTAAATGATTGTGTTCCTTTGTGTAACGCTTATCCCCCTTCGTTTAAATTTTCAATTTTTTTGTGCTCGTACTGGCTGAATATAGAAATTGAAGTGGTTAGTTACTTATTGGACATCAAACATGTACCCAAGTGAACAAAGCAAATGTGGAATATTGTCTTTTTTTTGTAAACATACTTAATGGTGACAAACTAGTATACTGTCTTAATGGTGATATGAAGTAAATATGAGTAGGAGTTAGCCACGTGGAGAGGGAGCAGGTATCCCAGGCACTCTGAAAAACATCTTGAGATGGGCAGGAGTTTAGCTGATTGGAGGAACAAAAATAACGCCAGTGTAGCTACAGTGTATGATCAAAGAGAGCAGTGACAAACGAGGTTGGAGAGAAGCCTTGAGACATATCATATAGTGAGTTAAGGTTGTTAAGGCTGATTTCATTTTTTAAAATTTCATTTTAAGTTTGTTGGAAACCATTGAAGGTTTTAAAACATTCAGGTTTTCATTTTGTTTTTGCTTTAAGACAGTGTCTCACTCTGTTTCTTGGGGCTAGAGTGCTGTGGCATTATTTTATTTTATTTATTTTTGAGACAGTCTCACTCTGTTGCTCCAGTTAGAGTGCCAGGGCGTCAGTCTAGCACATAGCAACCTCAAACTCTTTGAGTCAAGTGATCCTTCTGCCTCAGCCTCCCGAGTAGCTGGGACTACGTGCATGCGCCACCATGCCAGGCTAATTTTTTCTATTTTTGGTAGAGACAGCGTCTAGCTCTTGCTGGTCTTGAACTCCTCAGCTCAAATGATCCATCCACCTTGGCCTCTCAGAGTGCTAGGATTTACAGGTGTAAGCCACTGAGCCCAGCCTGTGGCATCATTTTAACTTGCTGCAACCTCAAAACTCCTAGGCTCATGTGATTCCAGCTCAGCCACCCAGGGACGGGCAGGTGAAACCAGTCCCAAATAATTTTTTTTTCTTTTTTTGTAAAGACTGGGGGTCTAGCTTTGTTGCTCAGGCAGGTCTTGAGCTTCTAGCCTCAAGCAATACTCCTGCCTTACCCCGCCTCGCCCAAGGGCTGGGATTACAGGAGTAAGCCACTATGCTAGGCCCAGATTTTCATTTTTAGCTGATCATGGCAGGCTGGGTGTGGTGGCTCATGCCTGTAGTCCTAGCACTCTGGGAGGCTGAGGCAGGAGGATCGCTTGAGCTCAGGAGTTAGAGACCCACCTGAGCAAGAGCCAGACCCCTGTCTCTACTAAAAAAAATGGAAAGAAATTAGCCAGACAACTAGCCAGGCGTGGTGGTGCATGCCTCTAGTTCCAGGTTCCCCGGGGGACTGAGGCAGGAGGATTGCTTGAGCCCAGGAGTTTGAGATTGCTGTGAGCTAGGCTGATGGCACAGCACTCTAGCCAGTATAACAGAGTGAGACTCTGTCTCAGAAAAAACAAAAACATAAAAAATATCACTGCAGTTTCTTGCTGTGTGGAGAATGAAGGTGCTATTTACCAAGATGACCAATGTCTGGAGGAGTCTTAGCAATAGTTTTAAAAAGAAGTCTGACGTGGCTTATTGATTATGTATTAACCCAGGGGTCCTCAAACTTTTTAAATGGGGCCAGTTCACTCTCCCTCAGACCGTTGGAGGGCTGGACTATAGTTTAAAAAAACTATGAACAGGCCAGGTGCGGTGGCTCATGCCTGTAATCCTAGCTCTCTGGGAGGCCGAGGTGGCCGGATTGCTCGAATTCAGGAGTTCGAAACCAGCCTGAGCAAGAGCAAGACCCCCGTACTTTAGTTTCAAAAGATTTAATATAAAGGAAAAAACAAACAAAAAACAACAACAACAACAAAAAAAACCAAAATATTTAATATAGGCGTCCTCAGCTAGGCACAGTGGCTCACACCTGTAATCCTAGCACTCCGGGAGGCCAAGGCGGCGATTGTTGGAAGTCAGGAGTTCAACCAGCCTGAGCAAAGTGAGACCTCGTCTCTACTACAAATGGAAAGAAATTAATTGGCCAACTAAAAATATATACAAAAAATTAGCCGGGCATGGTGGCGCATGCCTGTAGTCCCAGCTACTCGGGAGGCTGAGGCAGGAGGATCGCTTGAGCCTAGGAGTTTGAGGTTGCTGTGAGCTAGGTTGATGCCATGGCACTCACTGTAGCCTGGGCAACAAAGTGAGACTCTGTCTCAAAAAAACAATCAAACAAAAAACTGTGAACAAATTCCTATGCACACTGCACTTATCTTATTTTGAAGTAAAAAAACAAACGAGAAACACCTGTGCATGGTGCATGGCCAGACTAGTTTGGGAGGACGCGCTGTTCTTTTTTTTTTGAAACATGTAGTTCTTACTTTGTTGCCCAGGCTAGAGTGAGTGCCATGGCGTCAGCCTAGCTCACAGCAACCTCAAACTCCTGGGCTCAAGCGATCCTTCTGCCTCAGCCTCCTGAGTAGCTGGGACTACAGGCATGCGCCACCATGTCCAGCTAATTTTTTCTATATATGTTAGTTGGCCAATTAATTTCTTTCTATTTGTAGTAGAGACGAGGTCTCACTCTTGCTCAGGCTGGTTTCGAACTCCTGACTTCAAGCAATCCGCCCGCCTTGGCCTCCCGGAGTGCTAGGATTACAGGTGTGAGCCACTGTGCCTAGCTGAGGACGCCTATATTAAATATTTTGGGTTTTTTTTGTTGTTGTTGTTGTTTTTTGTTTGTTTTTTCCTTTATATTAAATCTTTTGAAACTAAAGTACTTACTGTAGTTCACATCAAGAATGTCTGATTTTTAAAAAATTTACCATTAACTGGATGGACAGTTAGAGGTATCTGACGTTGGTAGAGATGTTAAGGATTTTGCGTACTATAGGCAGTCTTAACAGGGACCCAAAATAGGAGGACCTTTATGCATTTTATGCTGTAAAAATGGTACACTCATTTGTAATTCCTAGTTGCTTTATTGGTTGAATACACTTGAATTTAAATGGTAAAAATAAGGAAGACACAGAAATGAACTTTTTCATTGAGAAGAGATCTTAAATTCTATTTTCGAATGAGAAGAGATAACTAATTAAACCTTCTCAAATAAATACACAAAAAATATGTATCTTCAAATAATTTAATTATCTTTAAATAGTTTTAAAGGACTTACTGTTTTTTCTGACTTTAAAAATACACAAACATGGATGTGAATACTTAAGGTAGTTTTACACTCTGCATTATTCACATGAATTTACTGTATCAGTATCAATGGGATGAGAAGTCTTTAAATGTGGAAACTTGAATCAGATTTTCTGGGATAGAATCCTTGCTCCTATACTTTTAGCTATGTAACCTTGGACATGCCACTGAACCTGTCTAAAGACTTGTTTTCTTCATCTTTTAAATGGAAAGTGCCCCTCAATAATGACAATTAGTCCATTTGTGAGGGGAAAGCCTTTGTAACCTAAATATCTCTTAAAGGTTCCACTGCTTAATACTGCCACAATGACAACTTAATTTCAACCTGAGTTTTGGAGGGGACAAACATTCAAACCATAATCTTTACTAATTATAGCTGTTGTGAGGTTTAAATGACATACTATAAATAAGGCATATAATACAAAACTTGGTGTATAATCACCCAGTTAATTTACTCATTTACTCAACAAATATTTATTTAACACCTACTATGTGCACTGTTGTTATACTGAGATATACTAATGTTGATATGCTGGGATACAGTATTGAATAAAATAGAGAAAAAAATTCCTTGCCACATGGAGCTTACTTACATTCTAGTGGGAGAGTGCGGCCTAATGAAAAATATTCATCCTGGGGCCAGGCGTGGTGGTGCACACCTATAATCCTAGCACTCTGGAGGTGAAGTGGGAGACTTGCTTGAGTCCAGGAGTTTTAGGTTGCAGTGAGCTATCATGACCCCACTGCACCCTAGCTGGTGACAGAGTGAGACTCTGTCTCAAAAGAAAAAAAAGAAGATTTGAGTTGTATACCCAGCTGGTGTTGGAGAATTGGTTGGTGTCAGAAAACACCCTAGAGAGAGACAGATAATAAACTATATACAGATAATTAAGAAAATATACAAAGTGTCCTATTGTGAAAAGTGCCAGGAAAGGAAATCAGCAGAGAACATGGATAAATATTTTTAGGGGAGAGTTACTGAAGTATTAGGGTAGCTGGGGAGAGGACTCATGAAAAGATGACTTATGAACAAAGAACTAAAAGGAACGTAAGAGCAAGTTATGTTGCTAACTGGACAAGAGCGAATAGATAGTAAGGCAAAGGTTTTGAGGAGAGAGCCTGCCAGGTGTGCTTGAGGAATGGCAAGAAGGCTGGTGGGACTGGAGCAGAGAGAATGAAGAGGGGAGCATAGTAGGAGATAAATTCAGAGAGGTAATAAAGAGCCAACCATGGAGGGCTTTATAGGTCACAGTTGTTAGGACTTTGGCTTTTATTCTTACTCTGAGAAGAGAAGCCATTGAGTAGAGGAGTGACATGAACTGACTTTGGTTTTAATATGTTCGCTTACTCTGTGCTGGAAATATACTGCAGCTGGTTAAGGCAGACCAGGGGAGGGTAGTTAGGTGGCTGTTGGAAAAATTCATATAGATGATGATGACTTAGCACAGGGTGGTGGAAGTGGGGAAGTTGAGAGGTATAGAATAATATCCTGAAAGAATGTACCAGTTTTTCTTCACACTAGCAGTAAATCTGAGTACTTACAGTTTTCAATATATAGTGTTGATAATTGATATACAATATGTGTTTAACTTTTATCTTTTTCTAGGTTACAGTTCCTCTGAGTCATCTCATCAATGCCTTCCATTCACCAAAAAATACGTCTCTTTTTGTCAGTGGAGCATCAGTTTCTCAAAACCAGCATCGAGATGTAGTTCCTGAGCATGAGGCTCCCAGCAATGAGGTAATAGTTTTTACCTTGGTAATATGAGAAAGCCCTTTTGACATACAGTTGATACTTGACCATCATGGGGATTTAGGGGCACTAACCACCCCCCAATGCAATTAAATCTGGGTATCATTTTTTTTCTTTAATTAAATATTTCATTTCTTTTTTTCTTTTTTTTTTTAATTCAGTACGTGAAGCTAATGGGTATCATTTTTGACTCCCCCAGAACTTAAGTACTGTTAGCCTGCTGTTGCCTAGAAGCCTTACTGATAACATAAACAGTTGGTTATCACATATTTTGCATGTTGTTATATACTGTATTCTTATAGGAAAGGTAGAGAAAAGAAAATATATTTACTATTTATTAAATGAAAATGGATCATCATAAAGGTCTTCGTCTTTATTGGAGGAGTGCAGGAAAGAGGACAGGTTGGTCTTGCTATCTGAGGGATGGCAGAGCCAGAAGAAACTGTGTAATTTCTGCCTTCAGCTTAATCTCCTTTGTAAATAAAGATATTTAATTCTGGCTTTTATTGTACATATTGAAAAATTACTTTGTTTTACTTAATCATTTACTTTTTCAAATTTTTTTCATGTGGCATTGTATTTGGTATTAGTACTTCCTAGATTGTGTGATATCAGTCAGATATTCTTTTGTGTTCTCCAGCAATAGCAGTGAACGCAAAGGTAACTGACCGTAATTACCTCCTAAGTCTTAAGGAAGATAAAATAAAAAAGCTGCCTTATAGGAGCTTTCAGTGTAATTGAACAATTACAATATACTTGAAAGTGAAATGTATAAGCTAGGAAACGTTACTTTGTATTCATATAATTATAAAATCATTGTTGCCTAGGATATGAGAAATTATAAGCCTAAGTATTACAAGGATCATTAATTAGGTAGTTGCTTATAAGCTCAGAATGCATTTTTCATAGAAAAGATATTATAATCTGTAGGTAAGTTTCTAAAGCCTCTTTAACTCATAAATAGCTATGTTCTTAGTTCTGATATCAAGACCTATGGCAAAGGACAGTAAGGAGGAAATGGAAAGAGTTTGCTTTTGAGGGGTGGTGTAGGGTCAGTCTTAGGATAAAATTTTTATTAGGTGAAAAGTTTGTCTTTGTTACCTTCATACTTTCCTTTTGTACTATTTGTCCAGTTCCTACCACGACTTTCTATAGGCAGTGTATTGTCTTTCTACTGTCCTGACATTCTTCTTCTAAATTATAGTCCAAGAGAGCCTTACTACTGAACGTACTATATGTATCACAGTTTCTTTGTGCAACAAAATTATGTTTGTTTTAGAAATTTTGGATAATATTAATGTGGAAGATGTAAAATTTATCTATGATCCTGTTCTCCAGAGATAATGTTAATATTTTATGTCTCTTTTCTTTTGTAGTTTCATACTTTATAACAATTAGATTATACTGTACATATTGATTTAGGTTTTTTGTTCCTTTAATAGTCTTATGAACTTCTTATGCCATACATTTTCTATATTTTTAATGACTTCAGAGTATTCATTGTGTGATTTTCCCTGTTGGATATTTTCTAAGTTTTTTTGTTGTCATAAACAGCACCATTGTTACTATCCTTGTTGTTAAATCTTTGTTTCATTAAGTGAAATTGCTGAGTCAGTTATGAAGTACATTTTAGGGGTTGAAAAATAGTGAAACTCTAGAAGCCAGTGTTCAGTTTAAGACTAATGTTGTCATAGACAGAGTTCTTAATGTCTTATACACCCTTGTAAATCCTTCTGCTTGTTTTTAGTGAGTGCTCTTTATATCACAAAACTTTCTGATTTTCCTGAAGCATCCTATGTCATCTCTACTCCTTTGCTTTCATCAAGTCTTACTCATTCAAACGTCAACTCTGAAAAACAAGCAAAATTTCAGCTTTCTTCAAGCTACTGACTTCTTTTTCCTTTGCTCTAAGACCTCTTGAAAGAGTAGTCTGAACTTATGTCTGTACTTGAAAAGCTACCACCATGATATATATTAGGATATGTAGATGAGTAAGGCATGATCTCTGCCTTAGATCCTTACTTTTGTTAAATAGGATATATTTTTTTAGTCATTTTAGTATTGAAAAAATGTATTTTAGGAATATGAGTGACTTATCACATACTGGTTAATAAGATATACCCAGACATCATTCCAGAGCTGTATAATCCATGGATCTTTCTTTACATCAATCATAAGAAGTTGACAATTAATTTTTCCTCTCCTTTTTATGATTTAGCTGTTTTGGCCTAGAATAACATGTATGTATGTATGTACATATTTATTTGTTGGGACAGAATCTCACTCTGGTGGAAACAACCAAAGTGCCCATGAATACATGAGTGGATTAATAAAATGTGTTATATATATATCATGAAGTACTATTCAGCTATAAGAAACAATGGTGATATAGCACCTCTTGTATTTTCCTGGCTAGAGCTGGAAAAGTGAAGAGCTTAAGTCAAGTATCCCAAGAATGGAAAAATAAGTACCACATGTACTCACCAGCAAATTGGTATTAACTGATCAGCACCTAAGTGGACATATAGGAATAACATTTATTGGGTGTTGGGCAGATGGGAGGGGGAGGGGATGGGTATATACATACATAATGAATGCTATACGCACCAACTGCGGGATGGACAAGCTTAAGCTCTGACTCGAGAGGGGAGAGGGGGCAAGGGCAATATACATAACCTTAACATTTGTACCCCCTCAATATGCTGGGAAAAAAACAAAATAAAGAATCTCACTCTTGCCCAGGTTAGAGTGCTGTGGTGTCAGCCTAGCTCATAGCAACCTAAACTCCTGGGCTCAAGTGAACCTCCTGCCTCAGCCTCCTGAGTAGCTGGGACTATAGGCATATACCACCATGCCTGGCTAATTTTTTTTTTAATGTGTATATATATATATATATATATTTTTTTTTGTTGTTGTTGTCCAGCTAATTTCTTTCTATTTCTTTAGTACATACAGGGGGGTCTTGCTCAGGCTGGTCTTGAATTCCTGAGTTCAAACAGTCCTCCCGCCTCGGCCTCCCAGAGTGCTAGGATTACAGGGGTGAGCTACCACACCCGACCTATTTATATTTATTTTTAAGACGCCTGGATAGAGTGCAGTGGCGTCATCGTAGCTTACTGCAACCTCAAACTCCTGGGTTTAAGCGATTCTCTTGCTTCAGCCTCCAGAGTGGCTGGGACTATGGGCATGTACCATGATGCCTGGCTAATTTTTCTCTTTTTAGTAGAAATGGGGTCTCGCTCTTGCTCAGACTGGTCTGAACTACTGAGTTCAAGCAGTCCTACCACCTCGGCCCCCTAGAGTGCTAGGATTACAGGCATGAGCCACTATGCCCAGCCAATAACATGTAATTATTATTTGTCTTTAGTGTCTTCCTATAAGCTCATGTGGACAAGAAAATAATCATCTCAGGAATGAGGCCAGAGGAGTGAGATGTCCTGTTTATGGTTATGGACTGTAATATTTATGGACATTTAGGGACTGGAGGAAACTTAAAAGCTCCATGGATTGCTGAGGATTATCATTTGAATGGAATTTTTCCAGTTCAAGAACTTTACTGCTGTCTTCAAATCAGTTCTGCACTGTTGAGGACAGTCCCCCTGACTTTATATAATGGACTTTTTAGCCCAGCAAGTAGTTACTCTTACATTGTTGTTATAAATGTTTGACTGATGGTTAGTAGGCTAGCTCTTGATCAGAGTGCCTTATATGAAGACAAGGAAGAAACATGAAACAATTTACCTGATTCTGTGAACCATAGTGCTTAATACAATGGTGGTTTTGGTTTGAATGAAAAATTTTTCTTCTCTCATATTGAAATGTCATCTCTTTATTTATTTAAGGATGCCATTAAGAGTATGATTTTTTAACCTTTTTTAAACCTTGTATGACTGACCTTATTAGTAAAAATAGAACTATAAAAAATTTGCATGAATTTATTTTTTAAATATTAAAGGAAATTAAGTAATTATTAGATCTTTAAAATTCCTATTGTTTCAGCTGATAAGTACTATTTAAGTTAAATATTTTGATAATATTAATACTTACTTGGGTTGACTTAATCTTTTGCAGCCTGCACTTAACTTAAGGGACCTTGGATTATCTGAATTAAAAATTGGACAGATTGATCAACTGGTAGAAAATCTACTTCCCGGATTTTGTAAAGGCAAAAACATTTCTTCCCATTGGCATACATCTCATGTTTCTGCACAGTCTTTCTTTGAAAATAAATATGGTATGTTAATACATTTTTGGTTCCAATTAAAATAAGCCACTATTATACTGTTAATTATTTTAATAGATACCATTTATTAGCATTTGCTATAGGTTAGGTTATTTCCTAAGTTTACTTTCTTTTTCATTTTCTTATAATTTTTCATATTAGAGAATAATACTAGATTTACAGAAAAGTTGCAAACATAGTACAGTTTTCATATACTCTTCACCTTGCTTCCCCTAATGTTGACTGACATCTTGTATAACTATGGTACATTGTTAAAACTAAGAGATTAACATCGGTATGATATTTTTATTTACTTATTTTTGTAGAGACAGGGTCTTGCTGTTGCTCAGGCTGGTCTCGAACTCCTGAGCTCAAGTGATCTTCCTGCCTGAGCCTCCCAAAGTGCGCTAGTATTACAGGTGTAAGCCACTGTGCCTGGCCAGTGCAATATTAATATTTTTAACTAAATTACAGACCATTTGGATATCAGTAAAATTTAATTTCCCCAAATAACTAGGTTTTCTGCTCGTCCCTTTTCTTTTCCAGGATCTATTCTAGCATGCCACATTGCATTTAGAAGAATGGGGGGTTTTTTGTTTGTTTTAATTTTAGGTGACACATGTGTATTGATTTCTAGGTTACATACTTAATCTCTAAATCATAGTCTCTTTTGTGAAATCTCTATTATTTGAATATTATAACAATTTGGTGTTATAACTGGACTTATGCTGCAGTCTGTTGAAAGGGATGTTAGCCTCTTGAGTTTCTTTTTGGATATCACTTAAACAAGGCTATAAAAGTCCAGGAACAAAAGAGCAGGTTTGAATAGTTTATGATGAAGATTTGATTTGAAGCTGTACTTTGCATAAACTTAATTCCTTTACTAATTCTTTGCTTTTCTTTTGTCTTTATTTCATATAAGGCATAAAGAATATAAGAGTGAGACAAAAAGAAACAGTTTTGAACTTGGAGAATTAGACTAAAAATCTGCTTATATTTTATTGTCTTTATACCTTCTTCTAAATACTTGGCCCATAGAGTAATATTTTTGTTTTTATACTATTATTATTATTATTCCTGCTACTCTTCTAGTCTGCATATTTACATTTACTCTTACTTAAGGTTATTCCTCATGCCACCAGCTGTTTGTTAAGTTTAGGCAGGCAGAGTTTTTAGGAATGGGTTTTCTTTTTTTTTTTGAGACAGAGTCTCACTTTGTTGCCCAGGCTAGAGTGAGTGCCATGGCATCAGCAACCTCAAACTCCTGGGCTCAAGCGATCCTTCTGCCTCAGCTTCCCCAGTAGCTGGGACTACAGGCATGCACCACCGTGCCGGGCTAATTTTTTCTATATATATTAGTTGGCCAATTAATTTCTTTCTATTTATACTAAGACGGGGTCTTGCTCTTGCTCAGGGTGGTTTCGAACTCCTGACCTCGAGCAATCCGCCGGCGTTGGCCTCTCAGAGTGCTAGGATTACAGGCGTGAGCCACCATGCCCAGCCAGGAATGGGTTTTCTGACTTGACTCTGAGGCCTGAATTTTAAGGAGGACAGACAGACAGATGATAACTACTCATTGCTTCTATTGTTACTGATGCTGACCTTTTTCCCCTAGGATCTTAGGTATAAAATATGATGGGACACATAAGTCAGGAGAAGGAGTTAGGAGGGATCACTGAAGTATTCATGGCTTATAGCTATGGAAGAAACTTCCTTTATACTCAATGACTATGGAAGCGTTAAGAGAAAAGATAATAGTAGCTGTTGTTTGCAATGTTTTGTCACATCATTAGAGCTTTTGAATTTGTCTCAGAAATAGCAGTTCTTTCTCTCTTTATCCTCTTAACTAAAAGTAATTTTAACTTGAACATACATATTTTTTACCTCTATTGATTGGAATTTGCTTTTATCATAATACTAGATAAAAAAAGATAATCTAAACAAATGATAGATGGTAAACTGAAGAACTATACTGTGAGATTTAAAGTAATTAGATTAGCAGTGCCTTAGATATTTTCATAAAAGCGAGAGTCATTTCATGGACAAATAAAAGTTGAAATTCATTATATTGTTATTTTCCTAATATTTGATAACATTATTGATATTTCATAAGATTTTTGTTTTTTTGGTTTGGCAGTTAGAAAATTTACTTTTTGCAATTTCCCTCCAGGTTACTTAGATATGTTTGGTACTTTACGTTCCTCTTGCTTATACAGACATCATTCAAGAGCTTTTCAAAGCATCTGTTCAGATCTTCAGTACTGGCCAGGTATGAAGTAAAAACTGTATTTATTTTGAAAAATAATTATTTAATGTATTATGATTTGTCTTTAATGATATTAATGATTATAAATATTTGCACTTCACAGTAGGTCTTAAAGAGTATTTGGAATTGACTTGTTTGGGTACCTCTGTATAATTGTTAATCTGGAAAATATATAATGGGAGCTAAATTTAGAGTGTGATCAGTGCCACAGAAAATCAAACCCTAGGGAACTTAATCTACACCTGCTTCAAAATAATTGAGCACATTTGCTTACTTGTCCTCACTTTCAAAGCCCATTGAAGTGGCAGAAAAAAATATATAAAAATGAGGAAAAAGTTAGGACAACATCAGAGGGCTTTTATTAATGAACCAGGAATTTGAGGACTTTCAATAAGTTATAAAATAGGTGACATTGAATTGATAGCAAAATCACATTTGCACTCATTCATATATTTATTCAATACCAGGCACTAGTGATACTTAGGTGATAATGATCATTATAAATGAAAAAGACATGTTTCGTACCTTCATGGAATTTATGGTAGAGTGTCATGAAAGAGGTGAGTACTTCTGGTATAACTTAGGAAGAGCCCTAAGCTCAGAGTCAGTAAAAGTGAGCTCTGGCTTGGGATATAATAAACAGTTGAAAGATTGCCAAAAATCGGCCAATCATAAAGCTTTTAACTTTTAGGTAAATAAGCAAAAAATACCTTTCTATTAAGATGTATGTGTTTGTTTGTATGTTTTGGGGGGATTCTATCTCCAGAGACTCCCGGTTTGAGCTGTGATGACAAAAAAAGAAACAAGACAGTACCCCAGCTTACTTTGGTTTTGAATCATACATACATTGAAGGTACCTGCTCATTTACCATAGTCCATGTTTTTTGGTTTTTTTTTTTTAAACAGTCTCACTCTGTTGCCCGGGCTAGAGTGCCGTGGCATTATCCTAACTCACAGCAACCTCAAACTCCTGGGCTCAGGTGATCCTTCTGCATCAGCCTCCTGAGTAGCTAGGCCTACAGGCATGTGCCACGATGCCCAGCTAATTTTTTCTATATATTTTTAGTTGTCCAGCTAATTCGTTTCTATTTTTAGTAGTGACAGATTCTCTCTTGCTCAGGCTGGTCTCGAGCTCCTGAGCTCAAACGATCCTCCTGCCTCAGCCTCCTAAAGTGCTAGGATTATAGGCATGAACCACTGCGTCTGGCTCATATTCCACGTTTTATACTCTGAATATATTTCCTGCCTTGTTAGTGTTGAAGAAACCCATTTGCAGTCAGTACTGATCTCTGTCTTCTTTACAAATACAAATGAATTAACAACAGTCTCCACATCTTTGAGGAAAATTTAGCATGAAAAAGAGGCACCAGGCCAGCATGGCACGGTGGCTCACACCTGTAATCCTAGCACTCTGGGAGGCCAAGGCGGGCTGATTGCTCAAGGTCAGGAGTTCAAAACCAGCCTGAGCGAGACCCCATCTCTACCATAAAAATAGAAAGAAATTAATTGGCCAACTAATATATAATATAAAAAAAAAAATCAGCCGGGCATGGTGGCTCGTGCCTGTAGTCCCAGCTACTCGGGAGGCTAAGGCAGGAGGATCGCTTGAGCCCAGGAGTTTGAGGTTGCTGTGAGCTAGGCTGACGCCACGGCACTCACTCTAGCCTGGGCAAGAAAGGGAGACTCTGTCTCAAAAAAAAAAAAAAAAGAGGCACCAAGTTCATCAAAGAGAAATAATCCTCAAGGAACATTTAATGCAGAAGGCAGAAGAATAATTAAGATAGATATCTTTTTATTAATAGATATTCATGGAAGATTTATAAAAACTGAACATGTATTAGAGTATGAAAGATGTGTTAATAAATGCTCATAATATAACTCTAAGGTCAGGTTCTCTCATCATCAGATGATAAAACTAATATTTAACAGAAAGGGTAGGTTTAAAAAAACACCTAAATACTTAAAATTTAAAAATTAACACTTTTCCGAAATATCTCATGGCTGAAAGGAAGTCAAAACTGAAATTACAGACACAGTAATGAACCACAGTGAAAATCTGCATATCAAAATCTTTTGGTTGAGGGTGAAGTGATGTTGAGGGCATTGTATAATTTTTTTAGGAAATAAGAAAAATAGAAAATGAATTTTTAAAGTAAGAAATTAATTTAGGTAGAGCAGACATTACAAAAATAACAGCAAGAAATAGTTTTACTTAATAAAACCAAAAACAAATTTAATTTGAATAAATAATAAAATAGAACAACTTAATAGGTCTGATTAAAAGACAACAGGAAAGAAATGAAACAACAGGAAAATACAATGTTAGAAGTGTTAGGCTATGAATTAAGAAAATTGATTAAAGAAGAGATAGGATAATAATCATAAAGTTTGAAAGATAGTATTTTAAAAATATAATTTCTTTGCCCCAAAGGCCCTAGGGTTCAGATAGTTGTATGGCTGCATTCTGTTTTTCCAGAATCTTAAATGTTCTATTATTTAAAATTTACTAAAAAGAAAAAGTTAGAATAGGCTTTGCTATTCTGTGAGGTTGCTGTTAATAAAACTGGTATTAGCATTACCAAAAAAAAGGAATAAAATAGATCAGTTTCACTTAATAATGGAAATATAGAAATCATAAAATCCAGAGAAAGTTCTGAAATAGACAGGAAAATGGAAAGCAAAAAAAAAAAAATTGAAGAAGGAAAAATCTAGAAATGTGCTTAAAATACCATATCATGATTAAGAAGTATGAGTGATTTCACATTATTGGTAAGTCTATTAATTCATCACATTATAAAGAAAAATGTTATTTCAATGTGTGATAAAAAGGTATATAACATATTTTAATTGATATGCTTTCTAAAAACTCCTAGAAAACTAGAAATAGAAACTTTTCAGATTTCTTAAAGCATCTGTCGTGTTCCTGTTAATTTGAGAAACAAGATGTTTAGTATCCTGGGGGGTTTTTTCCAGCGTTAATTTGGAGTTCCTGAACAGTGTGATTAAAAAGAAAAAGAAATGAGTCATATGTAAATTAAAGGAACAAGCAAAATTGTAATTTGCAGATGATAAGATTGCTTATCAGAAACTTAACGAAAATCATCCAAAAGGCTCATCCAAAAGGCTGTTAAAGTTAGTAAAAGTTCACTATGTTGGTACCAATATAAAGGCATACAAATCAATAGCTTTTTTTATATTCTAGCAATGGGTCTTATTTACATTTTCTTGAAAACCCACTAAATGCTTTATCCTGACAAGAAATATATCACACATGTATATAACAGCATACACACATACGTGTAAGGAAATAAGAGTTGGGTAAAGTAAAATGAGAGAATATCATAATTCCGTTGGAAAGAACTAGGATATCAAATTATGTCCAAATTTATAAATTCAGTACAACTCCAGTCAGAACTCTAAGGACCTGTTTTGGGAATTGAGATGTTTGTTGATTGATTGACTGATTGATTTGACAGGGTCTTTCTTTATTATCTTGGCTGGAGTGCAGTGATGTCATCATAACTAGCTGCAACCTCAAACTCCTGGGCTCACCCTCCCGAGTAGCTGGGACTATAGGTGTGCACCACTACACCTGGCTGATTTTTCTATATTTGGTAGAGCAGGATCTTACTTTGTCACTCAGGCCAGTCTTAAACTCTTGGGCTCAAGTGATCTCCTGCCTCAGTATGCCAGCGTGGTAAGATTACAGGCATAAATCACTGTACCGGGCCAAAAAGTTGATTTTAAACTTAATTTGGAATAACTAAGAACATATTGAAAAAGAATGCTAATGAGTGGAATTTTTGCCCTACTTAAGTGTATCAACATACAGATTTTTAGCAATGGAAATCAGTAGTTTAGTATTACAAATAACTATAAGATTACAGAATTTAAATTGATACTGTCATACATTAATGCAACAAAATTAAGAATTTTAAATCAATGAGCAAATGATGGATTATTCAAAAAATGTTATTAGGCTAATTGGCTATCCATTTTGGAAAAGAGGGAGTCAGGTTCATTTCTTATACCAAAAAGAAAAAGTTCCAAGTACTTTAAAGGTCTTTAAACAAAATGTAAAACTGAAAGTATTAGAAATAGACTACCTTTAAAATCCTAGTTTAGCATCAATGAGACTCTAATCAAATCATAATGCTGAAAACACAATAGATTAAAAGGTATGGGCAGGGTACAGTGGCCCGTGCTTGTAATCCTAGCACTTTGGGAGGCCAAAGTGGGAGGATTTCTTGAGCTCAGGAGTTCAAAACCAGCCTCAGCAATATAGCGAGACCCTATTTGTACAACAAATGGAAAAATTAGCTGGGTGTGGTGGTGCATGCCTGTAGTCCCAGGAGGATGAGGTAGGCAGATCCCTTGAGTTCGGGAGTTTGAGGGTGCAGTAAGCTATGATGAAGTCACTGCACTCTAGCCCAGGCAACAGAATAAGACTCTATCTCAAAAAAAAAAGCTACATTAACCTTATAAATTATTGTTTCATATAATTGAAAGACAAAGACATATTAAAGTAACTATCCAATATATATAACTGAAGATTCCTATCTGTAATATACATATTCTATAAATAAATAAAAATGGAAAAACATGCGAAGTATGTGAATGGTTAATTCACTAAAGAAATAAAAATACAAAAGAATCTTTCAAAATTTTCCCACATTTGTAATCTGGGAAATACAAAGTAAAACAAGATACCTTTTTATTTTTGCCCATAAAATTTGTACCAATTTAAAAGACTTATATTATCCAGTGTTGGCAAGGGTATGAAGAAAAGGACACTCATATTCATTGATGGTCACATGAATTGATAATAGCCTTTTTAGAAGACAGTTTGTTAGTGTCAAACAAAATCCAAACCTAAATAATAGTTTTCCTACTCTGAATTTAGTCTAAATCTGCTGAAGGATATATGTATAAGAATGTTCACTGCAGTACTACTTCTAGCAATAGAAAACAGGAAAAAATGTCCATAGAAAGGAAATGGTTGAATAAATTGTCATACTCATAAATTGGAAAACTGTAAATGGCCATTCAGTAACTGAATACACTGTCCTCTTCTAAAAAGTATACATGCTATATCATTAAGTGAAAGAAGGTGATTGCAAACATTTATGCTATTTCTAGAGTAATTTTTCTGGAAAGCGCAGGTATGTGCATACATAGAACAGTAGTTGTGGAATTAACAGTGGTTACTTCTGGTAAGTCGGATCAGTACAGGAATTAAAAGACATTCACTTTTTTTCTTTTCTTTTCTTTTTTTTTTTTTTTTGAGACAGAGTCTTGCTTTGTTGCCCAGGCTAGAGTGAATGTTGTGGCATCAGCCTAGCTCACAGCAACCTCAAACTCCTGGGCTCAAGCGATCCTTCTGCCTCAGCCTCCCGAGTAGCTGGGACTACAGGCATGCACCACCATACCCGGCTAATTTTTTCTCTACATTTTAGTTGGCCAATTAATTTCTTTCTATTTATAGTAGAGAGGGAGTCTCGCTCTTGTTCAGGCTGATCTCGAACTCCTGAGCTCAAATGATCCGCTCGCCTCGGCCTCCCAGAGTGCTAGGATTACAGACATGAGCCCCACCATGCCCAGCCTGTAAAAGTTAATTGTATAGATTCATTGTATTTTATTTATTTGGGTTTTTTTTTTGAAATATGTCATAGTTTGTCAGAGTTGCTATTCTGTTTTCTAAATTATATTGTAAAATCCCCTGACTTCTCTGATTGTTTTTTTCCTTTATCAACATGAAATAAATAGAATGTTTAAAGTTCTTTTCGAAAAAAAGGGTGATAGAAAAAATATAAAGCATTTTGAAGTGTCAGGCAAAAGAATTGTGTCAGAATATGAGATGAACTAGGATATACAGGGATGGTGTCAGACTTTTAGAATCTTAGGCATTTTTCTTGCTGACAGTTTGCAATGGAAGTAAATGATACTGTTTTATTCAGTTTTTATACAGTCTCGAGGTTTTAAAACTTTGAAATCAAGGACACGACGTCTACAGTCCACCTCTGAAAGATTAGCTGAAACACAGAATATAGCACCATCATTCGTGAAGGTAATCAGATTTTTTAATATGTTCCTAAAAGCAAATATTTTAAAGTTATAGAAACAGCGAGGACCTTCAATATGTGATTTCTTTTGTTGGCAGATAGATTTTCTGCCTTCCTTTCACATGTGATAAGGGATTAATGACCTTGTCTCTCCACTTGTTAGACATTTCCCTCTGATTTTTTTCTCCCACCAGCCTATACCTGTTCAGGTGTTCTCTAATGACCAACATCCCAAGCTGGAAACCTGGTGATCAGTCTAGATTTGTCCATCTTTCCTCACCTCCCACATCCATTAATCATCAAAGTCCTGTTGTTCCAACTTCTAAGCATTTATTAAATCAGGTTCACTGCCACAGATAGGCTGTAATTGTTTCTTGCCTGCATAATCATTGAGTCTCCTTGCCTCTTGTCTTGCTGCCTTCAGTCTGGCATTTAGACTGCCACCCAGTGAATCTTTCTCAAATGATGATCTAATTACTCTGCTTTATTGTCAACTTCATTCTGGTACACAGGGCATTTAATTATTTTGTCTCTATCCTTTTTCCATTCTCATTCTTCAGTATTCCGTCTGTTCCCCTGTTCTCCTCTCTTGGCATTTAAGTCTTGTCATGTATGATTGCTTTCTTCAGTTCTTAAGCGTCAACAGCTGTTATTTCATGCCTCTGTCAGATTGTTCATAGTGTTAGTTCCTTGTGGTTTAGATGTCCCCTTCTGTATAAGGCCTTTCTTATCTTCCTTCGGTAACATTCATTTTACCACCATAATACTACTCTAATATAATATCAAAATGATTTTAGAAACTTCGTTATTTACGTATCTTTACCCAGTAGTCTGAAAACTTTCACATCAGTTGCTTATTTATCTTTACGTCTTCAGAACTTACACAAGGCCAGGTTTATGAAGGGTGCTTAGTAAACATTTACTAAATTAATGAGTTTTTTTCCTCTGGCAGAGGTAAAGAGGTATGAACATTCAGCCATTAGAGCCCTAAGATAACACATGGCCTATTAACTGTTTTAAGTAGTAGTGTTCTTACAGAGAATAATGCCACTTTATATTGTCAGTTAATTGATACAGATATAGGATCTAGTGTTAGTTTTCTAGTTATTGGTTAAGTAATTCATTGTAGAGTGCTAATCTGTTTCTTCACGTTGACAATAAAAATTCTAGAATTTTAATGAAAATTTTTTGAGTGGTTGAAGTATTGCTGTGGAGTGTTACAATCTATGTAGTCATTCAATACCGTTGTGTTGTTTGTATATTTAGGGGTTTCTTTTGCGGGACAGAGGATCAGATGTTGAGAGTTTGGACAAACTAATGAAAACCAAAAATATACCTGAAGCTCATCAAGATGCATTTAAAACTGGTTTTGCAGAAGGTTTTCTGAAAGCGCAAGCATTAACACAAAAAACCAATGGTAAGTTGATTTGACACTGTCCGTGTTTCAGGAAAATAACTAAAAGGAGGTCATAGTCCTATGTGACTATATTTAAGTTAAAAATAACTTCTAAAATCATCTATTCTCTGGTTATATTCCACTATATTTGTAACTTAAGCTGTATGGAAATGGAAATACAGTTGACAGTTTCACCTTCTCAAGAGAAAAACCAAATTAAAGGATAGAAGCATGAGTGACTTCATGAAGTTTTTCCGCCCTGAAAGGAAATTATAGCAATTGTGCAAAAGAATGCCATATTTCAAGATTCCACGGGGATGAAATATGATTATCAACGATAAACTAATATTTCCATTTCATTGAGCTGTCATATTTCATTAATGTCATTTGATTTAAGCTTTTACTTTCTCTTCTAGATTCCCTAAGACGAACCCGTCTGATTCTCTTTGTTCTGCTCCTATTTGGCATATATGGACTTCTAAAAAATCCATTTTTATCTGGTAAAATCTCTTTTTTATCTGACTTATTAATTTTTTAGGTTTTAAATATCTATTTCCATTTTATGGTTAGTCTATCTTAGATATAAAGCAAACATTACTGTTTAAAGTTACACTATGTAAGCTTTGATTCGTAGTAATTTCCTAGCTTTTTAGAAAATGATACTTGTCCAATTATAAAATTTAAAAGTTATATAGAAAAATTTTATAATAACAATACAAAGTAACAGTGTTCTATTTCAAATATTAATAAATTGAAATTTTTCTTAAAATTATATGAAATGACTCCCTTTTTTTTCAGTTTGTTTATCTGAAGTAAAGTAAAAATGTTAGGTTTAAATAGTTCCAATTACTTTATCAACTATCATTCAGTTTTTACCCTGTGATCTCTATGATTAAGGATCTATATCAATCTTTAGAAAATGCTTTGGTGGGCTAAAACTGTCAGTGTCCATTTTAGAATACAGTTTTAAATTTGCTTTCTGAACTTAACATTCTTAATGTGTTAAGCATTTCTTTTTCACCCTGTATTTTTGCCCACTTGTTTTTTATTCTGCATTTCAGTCTATCTTAATGATAGCATTTTGGGCTTCTGAGGAAATTAGAAATTACTGTTTCCTCGGCTTACATACAACTGCTCTAGTCTGAGTGGGAGAGACTTGTAATAGTTTGCTAAAGGTGTTCTCAAATATTTTACTCTCTGATCAAACTTGTTCTATCTTATACTTAATGATGTCATTGCTGATACATTATTTGAGTACAAGTAATAACAGTTGTTAGAGGAAGAAGAAAGGTAACATCTGCTAAGTCTTATTTGTTTTTAAATGAGTGTGCCAATTTTTTGTGTTAGGTTTAAGGCAGTATAGATCCAAGTGTAGATCTGTGACCAGTTGTATCAGAATCATTAAGGGTGCTTGTTAAAAATGCAGATTCTCCTGGGCCCCTTTTTAAATCTATTTTTTTAACCTCCACATTGTGAACAAATTTCTTTTTAAATCTATAAACCACTCATCTGCACCATTAACTGGGGACCTGCATTTTAACACATTTCTCAATTTTTATTCACGCCAGAGTTTGAGAACCATTGATTTAAGATTTCTATCATTCAGTATTTCAAGAAGAGGAAAATAATTCTTGATTTTAACTGGAAAGTACAAACATTTCTTTTTAATGTGAATCACTTACTCCTTGAATATGATTTAGAAATCTGAAGACCTAGGTTCTGCTCCTCACTCTGATTTAATATGGGAACTTAGGACTTCACATATTTAAGTTTCTTAGGTTTTGCTTTCTTGCATCTGAAAAATCGGATGGTTGGAATGTTATTACTTTATCAAATAAAAACATTTCTTTTCTCCCCTTTAGTCCGTTTCCGGACAACAACAGGGCTTGATTCTGCAGTAGATCCAGTCCAGATGAAAAATGTCACCTTTGAACATGTAAAAGGAGTAAGTTAAGATAATTTGCTTGCCTTCATCATATACTATGTAACTGATATTCTATGAAAGGTCAATACTTGATTTCGAAGGTTATTCTGGAATTGGTAAAATTGTATCCCAAAGTATTTGAAACTTTGATATTTGGGGTAAATGATAATAGCAGAGGATCAAATCTTGTTTCATGACAGGGATTAGTATGATTTGTGGAGGAGCGGAATGGTATAGTGGAATGAATGTGGATGTAAGAATCAAGCAGACTAAAGTTTCAGATTCATTTTTTTTTTTTTTTTTTTTTGAGACAGAGTCTCACTTTGTTGTCCAGGCTAGAGTGAGTGCCGTGGCGTCAGCCTAGCTCACAGCAACCTCAAACTCCTGGGCTCGAGTGATCCTTTTGCCTCAGCCTCCCGAGTAGCTGGGACTACAGGCATGTGCCACTATGCCCGGCTAATTTTTTATATATATATATCAGTTGGCCAATTAATTTCTTTCTGTTTATAGTAGAGACGGGGTCTCGCTCTTGCTCAGGCTGGTTTTGAACTCCTGACCTTGAGCAATCCGCCCGCCTCGGCCTCCCAAGAGCTAGGATTACAGGCGTGAGCCACAGCGCCCGGCCTCAGATTCATTTTTATACTTATTGCCTGTGACCTTGAACAAATTACTTTAGATATAGATAACGTGGTTGGCACTTAATAGACAGTTAATACATCTGGTGGATGCACGGTGGATCATGCCTATAATCCCAGCACTTTGGGAGACGGATGCGGGAGCATATATAGGCATACTTTTATATACAGCCTTAAAAATATTAATAAAGGGTTTTTATAACTTCATCATGGGTTGATCCCCTTAATCCTATTTTTCTCAATAGATCTTTTATTCCTCAATTTGGAATTGTCTTGCCACAGAAATTGGGGAGAGAATATAGTTTATATGAGTAGCAAATGATCTTTAATTTCTTTTATTCATTCCTACAATTCAAAGTTGGAATTTTATATATTATTTTGACTAAAAGTATTTTAGTTTTAGTACATGTCCATCTTTGAATACTTGTTAAAAATATGTTCTTTTAATATGCCAGCCAAATCTCTTTTAACCATAAATTTTATTGAAGTTTAACATAGTCACAAAAAAGTGCACAAATCATAAATGTATATAGCTCAATAAATTTTTGCATAGTGAACATGTTTATATTATTAGTACCTACCTCAAGAAACAGAATATGGCTGGGCACGGTGGCTCATGCCTGTAATCCTAGCACTTTGGGAGGCCAAGGTGGGAGCATCACTTGAGGTCAGGAGTTTGAGACCAGCCTGACTGAGAGTGAGACCCCCATCTTTAGTAAAAATAGAAAAATTAGCCAGGCATCCTGGCATGTGCCTGTAGTGCTAGCTACTTGGGAGGTTGAGGCAGGAGGATCACTTCACCCAAGGAGTTTTGAAGTTGCTGTGAGCTAGCCTCATGCCACTGTACTCTACCCAGAATGACAAAAGTGAGACTGTATCACAAAAAAAAATATTCTGACATTTCCAGGAAATATTTCTGGAAAATTTCTAGAAATATAAGGCAATTCTGACTTTTAATTTTAGGTTTTCAGAATGTCCTTTGACCTAAAGATGGGTTCCATGTTTTAGTATTCTCCTCTTCAGGCAGTTTCTTTTTTTTTTTTTTTTTTTTTGTTGCCCAGGCTAGAGTGAGTGCCATGGTGTCAGCGTAGCTCACAGCAACCTCAAACTCCTGGGCTCAAGTGATCCTCCTGCCTCAGCCTCCCGAGTAGCTGGGACTACAGGCATGCACCACCATGCCCAGATAATTTTTTCTATATATATAGTTGGCCAATTAATTTCTTTTTATTTATAGTAGAGACGAGGTCTCGCTCTTGCTCAGGCTGGTTTCGAACTCCTGACCTTGAGCAGTCCGCTCACCTCGGCCTCCCAGAGTGCTAGGATTACAGGCCTGAGCCACCACGCCCGGCCTTAGGTAGTTTCTTTTTAACCCTGCAGAATATACTTGACTTTTGTCTTCTCAGTGAGAAATTGAAGAAATGTAGAATGATTTTTGTTGGAATAATAAGGAGACTTTGCATAATTGGAAATAATGGTCAGGAGAAAACCCTGTGTATGTTTATGAGGGGGCATTTTTATGTACTTCCATCACTGAAACAAAGAGAAGGCCAAGTTAATTCCATACCCAAATTTGTGATTTTCAAGGAAGAAGCCAGAATTGACTAATAAAATCTAAACATCATTTTAAATTGTTTGGTAAATTGGGTTATTTTAGGTGGAGGAAGCTAAACAAGAATTACAGGAAGTTGTTGAATTCTTGAAAAATCCACAAAAGTTTACTGTGCTGGGAGGTAAACTTCCAAAAGGTAAGGTATCTTCCCTTACCATGATTTGATGTTAAAAAATGCTGTAATTTATTGCTAATTTAATTTTATCAGTTTTTAACTAATTAAAGTTTAGTTCTCAGTTGCTGTTTTACAAAATAGATGCTCATTCTGCGTATACAGTTCTTCAACCTTTACTGTAACTTACAATTTTTACATAATTACAAACTTCAAGTACAGTTGCAAGAATAGTACAAAGAGTACTCTTCATATCCTTAAGCCAGTCTCACCAATTTTAATGATCTGCTCCATCTTAACATTAGCTGCATTCACTTTATCTTTTTATATACTTAACATTTTTTTAACCATTTGAGAGTAAATTGTAGGCATAATTACTCCTACGTGTGTATTTCCTAAGAATAAGTATATTCTTGTACATAACTCCAGAAATAATTGTTAATATTAAAATCAGGAAGTTCAACATATATACAGAACCATTACTGAATTCCCAGCCATATTCAAATGTCAGCATTTGTTCCAATCCAGTATGCTTTGTAGTGTCTCCCTCACTGCCACTGCCTGCCCTGGTTCGGGATCCACTCCAGGATCACACTTAACATGGAGGTTTTTCTTTAATAAGAAACAGCTCGTCAGCCTTTTTGTGGAAGGTGGGGGAAAGAAAGTCTTTCATGATCTTTACAACAGCGAAGAGTATAGACAATTTATAGCATGTTCCTCAGTTTAGCTTTGTCTGATGTTTTCTCACAGTTACTAAACATGATTTTAAAGACTTCATGGTGTCTTTCTAATTTATGGTTGTATTATGATTTATCTAACCATTTGTGTTGACTTTTTTTCTGGTTTCCAGGTTTATGCTATTGAAAATAGCACTGTGGTGATCATTTTAACTCAAGGCTTTGCCTAGCTGCTTAATTATTTCCTTAGAAAAAATTTCTTGAAATAGAATTCCCAGTTAAAGAATGACACTCCTTTTTAGGACTCATTTTGTACTGACAAATATCTCTACTGAGAGGTCAGCAGCATGTGAGATGGTTTGGATGACCCTTTGCTACTTGAGGGCACATTTATTAAATCAATGCTATGACATCATACAGTGAATGTTTGAAACCATAGAAGTAGTTACACTCTTCCTCTTTTTTATAAATTTATAGAAAAATCCTCAGGTACCTACATATAATCCACATAAATTTATGTTATTTAAATCTGTTAGATATCACTAAAACATGGAAATACTAGGGTGGTCTTAAGGCTTTTTTTTGAGCTTTCCCTCAAAAAAATTTTTTATGTTAAAATACAGCATTAATGCAGCTTTGTTGCTTTTTTATGTTGTTTATACATTTATGAAAAGTTATCCAAATTAAGGATATCTATTTTTCAAACTAATATGAAAAACTTACTGTTATAAAAATTTTCAAACTTGGAAAACCTCAAAGAGTAGTTAACACATCCATATACTATGCACTTAGACTTAGCACATGTTAACATATCGTCATATTTGCTTTCTTTGTGTGTGTATGTATGTTTCTCCTAAACATTTGAGAAAACTAAACATCACCTACTTTACTTCTAAATACTTCATTGTTACATCACTTCACAATATGGACATTATCCTAAGTAAACACGATAATCTTATCCCACCAAAGAAAATTAATACTGTTTCTTTAACATTGTGTACTTCTCTGATCATTTATCTGAATTTTCACCAAATGTCCTTAAATTTCTTTGTTTTTAATGAAAAAAGATCAAATCAGGTTTCATGTATTACATTTGTTTGTTTAGTCTTTCAATCTGTTTCTGTTGAATTTCTCCTGCTTATTTAGTAATAAATGGGTTTATATTCCTTTGACTCAAGAATCTGTCCTGTCTTGTCTGTTGTTGATATGTAAGCAGTATTTAAATGATATAGGAAAATTAGTGTTGGAGAAGATTCTAAAGTGAATCATTAGCAGAGACAAATATGTTCTGCTTTGTTTCTAAACATTGGTTATTGGTGTGCCTTCAACTTCCAAATTATATAAATTAATAATTATTTTATAAGTTCCTATCAAAGGATTTTTTTAAAAAGCAATTTGAATCATTCTTGTTTTCTTTTTCTATTAGGCATTCTTTTAGTTGGACCACCAGGGACAGGAAAGACACTTCTTGCCCGAGCTGTGGCAGGAGAAGCTGATGTTCCTTTTTATTATGCTTCTGGATCAGAATTTGATGAGATGTTTGTGGGTGTGGGAGCCAGCCGTATCAGAAATCTTTTTAGTACGTTTTGCTGTATCTTTTATAAAATGCTAAACTTTTCTAATTTTAGGGGGAAAGTGTATCTTACCCTTTTTTGCTAATTGCTTTTGATTGACAGTCAACTGAAGTAGATATTGTCCTGGTTTTAGGTAATTTCATATACGAGCTAAAAGAGAGTGTCTTCCTTTTCTAAATAGTTGGAATTGGCCGGGCGCTGTGGCTCACGCCTGTAATCCTAGCTCTTGGGAGGCCGAGGCGGGCGGATTGCTCAAGGTCAGGAGTTCAAAACCAGCCTGAGCAAGAGCGAGACCCCATCTCTACTATAAATAGAAAGAAATTAATTGGCCAACTGATATATATATAAAATTAGCCGGGCATGGTGGCGCATGCCTGTAGTCCCAGCTACTCGGGGGGTTGAGGCAGAAGGATCACTCAAGCCTAGGAGTTTGAGGTTGCTGTGAGCTAGGCTGACGCCACGGCACTCACTCTAGCCTGGACAACAAAGTGAGACTCTGTCTCAAAAAAAAAAAAAAAAAATTAGCCGGGCATGGTGGCGCATGCCTGTAGTCCCAGCTACCCGGGAGGCTGAGGCAGAAGGATCACTCAGCCCAGAGTTGAGGTTGCTGTGAGCTAGGCTGACGCCACGGCACTCACTCCCTGGGCAACAAAGTGAGACTCTGTCTCAAAAAAAAAAAAAAAAAAAAAAAAAAAAAATAGTTGGAATTATCAGAAGAGCTAGTGAAAGGTGCAAGATGACGTTGGGAGCTGGCAAAAGGCTCCTAGCTTTTTTTCATTTTATTCATCGATTCCTTAGTATGTAATTAAGGATTTTTTTAAATTTTATAAATAAAATAATTTTTTTGAGATTTTACCAAGAAATATGTAATTCAGGATTAATTAGCCTCAGACATGATTGTATGTGACACTTCTACAGTTGGAAAATGAATAACCAATTGTTTTTATTTTATATCATTCTTTTCAGTATGTTCCCCGCCCCCACACCCCAGAGCTAGTATTCTTAAATCAGTAAAAAACAGTCTTGCAGGTTAATATTTATCTGGTTTTGTTTAAAAAGTATTGATTTCTTTTAACTTACTTGAATATTTTTTGTTTTCTTAGGGGAAGCGAAAGCAAATGCTCCTTGTGTTATATTTATTGATGAATTAGATTCTGTTGGTGGGAAGAGAATTGAATCTCCAATGCATCCATATTCAAGGCAGACTATAAATCAGCTTCTTGCTGAAATGGATGGGTAATTGAATTTTCCTTTCTGTATAGAATATGATGATGCCTTGTAGCATTTGATACCCTTTATAGTTGATCTTATGTAAATTGTTCCCATAAAGCCTTTGACAACATTCTAGAGATATGAGACACATTATGTGTAATAGGCAATAGGATAGTCCCGGCTGGGTGTGGTGGCTTACGCCTGTGATCCTAGCAATCTGGGAGGCTGGGGTGGGCGGATTTCTCGAGCTCAGGAGTTCAGAACCAGCCTGAGCAAGAGCGAGACCTCGTCTCTACTATAAATAGAAAGAAATTAATTGGCCAACTAATATATATATACACAGAAAATTAGCCGGGCATGGTGGCGCATGCCTGTAGTCCCAGCTACTTGGGAGGCTGAGGCAGAAGGATTGCTTGAGCCCAGGAGTTTGAGGTTGCTGTGAGATAGGCTGATGCCACGGCACTCACTCTAGTCTGGGCAAAAAGAGAGACTCTGTCTCAAAAAAAAAAAAAAAAAAAAATAGGATAGTCCCTCATGTAAGAAGTCAGGACAGGCTTTTCTCTTAGTAGTTTATTGTTTTTATTACTAATTGAGTATTTGAACATAAACTCATTTAATTTGAGATATTTATACCTTTATTCACTTGCTATACTTAAGATAGAAAATCAATGGTTTAGCTCAGCCTGGTGTTCTATATGAAGAAATAAAGGGTATGTATCCTGGTTTCTACACAATTTATGAGTAGTTTTGAGTTTTTTGGTATATTTAAAACTTACATCAGTGTTCATAATACAAGAAGCAAGAGGTAGCATTGCTTTGAAGGAAGTAGCTTCACGTCGATATAAGATATTTTGAAACGAAATGAGAAGTCTGGGAGCAAATAAATTGAATTGATGTACTTCAAAGTCATTTTTCAAAATGAATCAGGCCCCTGATTAATTAAAAGATACCTTGTCATGTCAAGGTATTTTTTCCCTAGTAGACAAGGTATGTAATTAGAGATGATTGGTGTTTTATTATCAATGCCTTTCTTGGTTGTTATTAAGATGAATAATAAACAGTAGATGTCAAGCATTGCTATATGTGTGATATGCTTCAATTTTCAGTGAAAAGGTACTCTCTTTTTTCCCTAAATAGTTTTAAACCCAATGAAGGTGTCATCATCATTGGAGCCACAAACTTCCCAGAGGCATTAGATAAGTAAGTATTGAAATAAAATTTTTGTGAAGTACTGTTACATGCTATACGATCATGCTAAAAGAATTCCCAATACAAAGATCACATTGTATGATTTCATTTATACAGAATGTCCAGAAACTGAAAATTTATGTTCAAACCTGTCTGCCATTCTCTTACCATCATGTCTTTAGTGTGTCAGTCTTGTTTAATTTTAGCGTAATCAATTGATTGATTTATGTTTTCATTTTGCATTCTTCCTTTAGTGCCTTAATTCGTCCTGGTCGTTTTGACATGCAAGTTACAGTTCCAAGACCAGATGTAAGAGGTCGAACGGAAATTTTAAAATGGTATCTCAATAAAATAAAGTTTGATCAGTGTAAGTTGAATTTTTTTTTTTTTTTTTTTTTTTTAAGGCAAAGTCTCACTCTGTTGCCCGGGTTAGAGTATGGTGGCATCAGCCTAGCTCACAGCAACCTCAAACTCCTGGGCTCAAGCAGTCCTCCTGCCTCAGACTCTCGAGTAGCTGGAACTACAGGCATGCACCACCATGCTCAGCTAATTTTTTCTATATATATTTTTTAGTTGTCTGACTAATTTTCTATTTTTAGTAGAGATGGGGTCTCGCTCTTGCTCAGGCTGGTCTCAAACTCCTGACCTCCAACAGTCCTCCTTCCTTGGCCTCCCAGAGTGCTAGGATTACAGGTGTGAGCCACAACACCTAGCCTAAGTTGAATTCCTTAATACAAACATTATTACCTCTATAAAATGGTAATGTATCCATCTGCCCCATTCGTGTTCCTTACATGAGAAATATATTAAAAGACCAGTTCATTTTTATGTTCTTTTCTCCCCATTTACATGTCCTTGCCTAACCCATGGCACAGTGGCTTATGCCTATAATCCCAACTATACACTATGGTGAGGCAAGGGGATCACTTGAGCTCAGGAGTTGGAGGCTGCAATGAGCAATCATTATGCCACCATACTGCAGCATAGGTGACAGAGCAAGATGAAACTCATTCTTCAATTAGCATGTATCTGAGAGATTTTGTTGCTTTGAATCCTGTTTCCAAAGACTTTTTTTAGAGTATTCAGACAGATAATATTTGAAGATTAATATATGTACACATTTTTTTAGATGAATGTGAAATACAAAATAATAGAAAAAGCTCTATAAACAGTAGATGATGATATTGTCAGTTTGGCGCCAAAGGGGAGGAAAGCCAACTATAAAACAACACATAGAGATATGCTGGACCCACCTGAGCAATAAATAAAGCTGTAGTATTTTGAGGAATAGCTGAATTAATTCAGAAAACTAAATATGTTTCTTATAATAAAGGGAGCTTTTACATCCAACTAATTTCAAGCTGAAATTTGTAGAACAGAATGTTGTCTCTGATACAGTTTTTCAGTTTATGGTTAGTCTAGTAACAATATAGGTCATATTTGAAGTTACTAATTGATGTAAGGTAGCTCTGCATTTAATTATTTTTCACAAAGTTATTTAAATTTAAGACCTTTTGTGATTTGTCCCAGTGCCAATTTCAGTAGAATAATGGGCTTTTTCCCTAGGAATTTTCATAAATTCAGTTCATTTAAGTTTTACGATTAATTATGGCTCAGAATAACTGTTTTTTTCTTTGGACCCTGAGTTGTTTGTGATGAGCTTTCTTTTAGCTGTTGTGGACTGCTAGTATTGTGTTTTCTTTTTACATTAGCGGTTGATCCAGAAATCATAGCTCGAGGTACTGTTGGCTTTTCTGGAGCAGAGTTGGAAAATCTTGTGAACCAGGCTGCATTAAAGGCAGCTGTTGATGGAAAAGAAATGGTAACAATGAAGGAACTAGAGTTTTCGAAAGACAAAATTCTAATGGGTAGGTTTTTATGTTTTTTTTTTTTTCAGTCTCTTTTCATTATGTTAGATAATAAATTCTTTGTTTTTTTAGCAGGTTTTGTATTCAGACAGCTAAGGCCATGGCAGTGTTGCATCTAATCTTACTCTAAAACTTCAGTGTCTGAGTATTTAAGATTTACAATAAATAATTTCATAAATTCATGGTTTGAGAGTCAAATTCCAATAAACAGTAACACTTACTTAACTAGACCCCATCATGTCAGTGATGTAGAACTGCTTTTATAGTGTGGCACATTCATTAGTTTTGTCTTTTTCTGAGAAGACCTTTTTTACTGACTGAAAAGAGAAAAAGGTTAAAAAAAGGAACAGTTTTGGGAACATGAAAATACATACTTGAAAATAATACTATTTGGCCTCTTACAGAACAAATACATTTCAGTATATTATATAATTACCCCTACATTTCCTCTTCTAAAATATTACTGATAAAAGGGATAATTAATTTCAATTATATTGTGTTTAATTTTAATTTCAAATCTTGAATTGGCTTATTACTTTTTTATCGGATACTTTCATCCTTCAGTGTCCCTTTGGTATCCATGAGAGCATTCGTTCCAGGAGCTCCATGGATACCAGAAATCAAGGATGCTCAAATCTCTCATGTAAAAAGGTCTACTATTTGCATGTAACTTATGCATATCCTCCCAGCTACTTTAAATCGTTGCTAGATCACTAGTAATACCTGATACAACGTCAGTACTCTGTAAATAGTTGTTATACTGTATTGGGTTTTATCATTTTTATCATTTTTTTCCTCCCTGAATATCTTTGATCCCCAAATGGCTGGAACATGTGAATAGGGAGGGCAACTGTATTTGATTTGGAAATGAAAATGAGTATCATTGATTTCAATACACCTTTCTAATGGAGTCTTTTTTACTTCATTACATTTTTATCTTAGGGCCTGAAAGAAGAAGTGTGGAAATTGATAACCAAAATCAAACCATCACACCAATCTGGTGGTGCTATTATTGCATATTGCACAGAAGATGCGACACCTATCAACAAAGCTACAATCATGCCCCGAGGGCCAACACTTGGACATGTAAGTTTTTATCGTTTTTTTTTTCTTTGTTTTCAAATAGAGCTTCCCTGGAGCTTATGGAGGAAATTGCTGGTTTAAGCGTTTAGAAAGAAAATTCAACTACTTCCTATGGCTTTTGATACTTTCTTCTTTTACTTCCTGAACCATCTGGAAATCAGACATCTGTGGAAGTTTTCTATTAATGGGGTATTCCTTAAGTCTTTTTCATATTATGTATTTACATTGTGAACTTTAATTGAAAAGTGGGAGCTAACTATAATTCTTAAATATCTACCTAACTGCTGTGCTCCCCCAAAAGAGAAATTATGTGTTATAGTAATAGATTCAGTAGTTTTTGTAAGATTATTGTCATTTAGTACAAGTTATATCATCTTTTGAACTGTAGACATTTGGAGCATTTCTGTGCAACATTTATTATCTGATTATTTTTTTAATTGTCTAGGTGTCTCTGTTGCCTGAGAATGACAGATGGAATGAAACTAGAGCCCAGCTGCTTGCACAAATGGATGTTAGTATGGGAGGAAGAGTAGCAGAGGAACTTATATTTGGAACTGACCATATTACAACAGGTTTGCTTGAAAGTATGACTTTGGTTGAAACTGTGTTTGTAGGGTTAAAGATAGTTTTAAAAATTATCTATTTATGTATTTTATTTTAGGTGCTTCCAGTGATTTTGATAATGCAACTAAAATAGCAAAGCGAATGGTTACCAAATTTGGAATGAGTGAAAAGGTAATAGCTAATTTTAATCCTTTCCATGTATCACTCTTGTGCCATAGGTCTCTTTGAGAGATGGTTCCGATTATAAATTGTTAACATTTACATTTTCTCTGTCTCATTCCAAATGGATTTGAGTCTCCTTCTGAACATTATTGTGTTATTCTGAGTAACAACAGTATAGCACTTTTTTTATCTGCTCATACAGTAACTATAACTTTTTGAGTTAGCCAAATGGTAGAAGAAAGTACATTTTATAGCCTTTCCTTTTTTTCTTTCTTTCTTTCTTTTTTTTTTTGAGACAGAGTCTCACTGTTGCCCGGGCTAGAGTGCCGTGGCGTCAGCCTAGCTCACAGCAAGGGCTCAAGCAATCCTGCCTCAGCCTCCTGAGTAGCTGGGACTATAGGCATGCGCCACCATACCCGGCCAATTTTTTCTATATATTTTTAGCTATCCAATTAATTTCTTTCTATTTTTAGTAGAGACAGGGTCTCGCTCTTGCTCAGGCTGGTCTCGAACTCCTAAGCTCAAACAATCCACCCACCTCGGCCTCCCAGAGTGCTAGGATTACAGGCATGAGCCACCGTGCCCGGCCTATAGCCTTTTCACATGGCATAAAAGAGCTTACATTCTGAGCTTGCTTACTTTACCCTTTCCGTGTATTTGACATTCATACATCATCGTTTTGACTCCTAGAAGCATTTCTGTGCCCTGATTTCTGGATTTCCGGATTTGGAATGGCTGCCTAGGTTACCTAAGAAAGTATTCAGAACCAGACTTATAATGATTTTAAATTTTCTTTCTTGCTTATACTATGGGTATTTTGCTTTTAGCCTTTACACTTCTAGAAGAATGATGACATTTCCTTGCCCTCAAATGCATGGTTATATTATATTTCTTTTTTGGCCACCATGGTATTTGATTCCTTACACATGAATACTACTTTCTCTGTTAATTTGGTTGGTGTTTTGGGGCTTTTTCGGTTCAACTACTTTCTTCCCTTTGGTTTTAGCTTGGAGTTATGACCTACAGTGATACAGGGAAACTCAGTCCAGAAACTCAATCTGCTATTGAACAAGAAATAAGAATCCTTCTAAGGGTAATAACAATATTTTTCTATGCTTATTTATTTTTGTAGACACATTATGCCCTAAATACTTTTAAAAATGAGAGAAATGATGTTTCTCTGTTCATTAGCAACATCACTCTGTAACATAAAGATAGTAGGTGTATCACTACAGCAGTGATTTACTCTGTTATTAAGGAACCTCTGCTCATGAACTGGTTCTTATTTTATTCTGATTCTGGGCCAAGAATACTTATATTTGTGGTTAAGAAATTTCAGTCCTACTTTAGCTGGAAAGCCATATGAAGCTTTAGAATAGGGGACATTGTTTATTGTGTCTCTGTCTCGTTTTCACACTCTGACATGTATTTATTCAACAAATACTGTTATTTGTTGATTGATTACTTATTGATTATTTGCTTTTTGCTTAGCATTGTGTATGTGCTGAGAGTAATACAGAATAAACAAAACAAAAGTTCCTTGGGCTACAGGGTTTATTAGAGACTAGGATAAAGGAATATGTAAGAGTAGAGTCAGTGGGATGAGGTAGTGTATGTGGTAATCCAGGCATGATAAATGAACAGTCGGATTAGGTTGGTGAGGATGGAAATGGAGAAACTTGAGTTGGTTCAAGAGATACTATTGTAGTAGAATCAGTATATCTTTGTGATATTTTGGATATGATGGCTGAGGAGCAGTTAAAGGTATTGCCTGCCTCCTACAACTATATGATTGTGAGTGCCATTCAGTGAAGAAACTGGAGACTAAACTCACCTGAGGCTGGAAGTAGATAGATCATGAGTGCAGATTTTTGTTTTTCTTTTTCTCAGAGATGAGGTCTTACTGAGTTGCCCAGGCTGGACTTGAACTGCTGTCCTCAAGTGATCCTTCTGCCTGATCCTCCCAAAGTGCTAGGATTACAGGCATGAGCCACTGTGTCCAGCCAACCCAGGCTGGACTTGAACTCTGCTTTCAAGCATTCCTCCCACCTTACCCTTCCCCAGTAGCTAGAAATACAGGAGCACACAACTGTGCCTGGTCTATGAGTTCAATTTATGTTGAATTGGAGGAATCTTAGTAGTAAAGATTTTGAGTTGGAACTAGATGTGTATGTTGGAACTAGATGTCTGGACCTTAGTGGAGAAATTAGCTATGAGTTCCATTTGGATGTTGAAATTACCCATCATTAAGGCAGGTCTTGGAATGAAAGAGGAAGACCCAGGTGAGTGCCGAGGTCTTTGGTGAATGAGGAGTGTAATTGGGGTGTTTATGATATGGCACAATGAAGGGAGTTGGATAGGGCTTTAGTTGAGTGGTTTGGAATTCAAATAACAGTGCTTTATACAAGAGAGGGTGGGTTAGTGGAAGTGGTGATAGGAACAGAGAGCTCACCTCTTCACCCTGAAGGATCTGGGATAAGAGTGAATAAATAGCACTTCAGACAGCTTAGGGAAAACAGTCTTGGCAGGAGAGGCCAGGTGTTGATTAATTCAAGGAGGTAAAAGGAGTAGTTAAGGATACTTAAAGTCTGTTTAAAGTCTGTACAACGGAAAGGTTTAGAAAACATTTCAGAGAGGAGGGCTCTGCCTTCCCAGAATGTTTATTTCCTTCTCCTTGCTATTTCTGTTATGTTGCCAAAAGTATCTGTAGTCTAGAACCAGGCTTTTAACTGCTTTTATAAATATAAATAAACTATTAATAATTTCACATTTCTTAGAGTACATAAAGTTTTTATTTCTTTTCCCATTGAGTATGGGTGTTTTTTCCCCCTACATTTTATGCTTCTTACATATCTGCTTTTCTGTTCTAGGACTCATATGAACGAGCAAAACATATCTTGAAAACTCATGCAAAAGAGCATAAGAATCTCGCAGAAGCTTTACTGACCTATGAGACTTTGGATGCCAAAGAGATTCAAATTGTTCTTGAGGGGAAGAAATTGGATGTGAGATGATAACTCTCTTGACATGGGTGCATTACTGGTTTTATCGCAAGAATATAAGAAACATTATAGTAGTCTCCTTTTGCAGTGCTTTCTCCTCCAATTCTTGAGTTGGTGTAATTCAAGAGTGTGAGACACTGTCTCATTCTTTTTTCACATTTATCTAATTTTGGCTACTCTCATGATGACACCTGTTGCAAATTAGCAACCTATAGCAAATATATTTTAAAAAAATAAAGAACTATCAGGATTCAAAATAGCTCATTTGAGAAATGTCAATCAGTTATTGAGTTGAAAGTGAGTAATGATTTTATGGTTGGTTACTCTGCTAGATGTTAATAAAAAGGGTGCCCTTAGCTCCTGGGGAATATTTTAATTTGCAAGCTAAAGTTGTAGAAGAATTATCTTTTTCTCTTGATAGTGCCATTTGTCTTTGATAATGAAATGATGACTTTTTTGTTGGTAAGTCATCTTTCTGTGTACCTTAATGGAGACTTAATTAAGAACCATGAAGTATGGTCCAGATTGACCACATCTAAAATGGTTTTTTAAAATATGATATTAGAGAATTGTAAATAGGTACAATCAGACTTTAAATGATTATAACCTTTTAAAATGTAGCATGCATTTTTTCATATTCTTTATGGAGTCAGACTGACACAGACTTCTTTGCTGAGACCAATAGACTTATGATAGAATGGGTACATATGCAATGATAATCCATGTTTTGACAGATGGAAAATCTGGAAGCCCAGGAGAGAGATGCACTGGCCTAGTAAAAGGGGTACCAAAACCTGAGAAACCAACAGTAGAAAGTATGCTGAAATGGTCTATTACAATCTTTCCTTGCCCACTAGAAAGCTCATAACTAATACATTTAAGTTTCTTCATTTTTGTTGGAATTGTGTAAACGATAACAGCTTATTCCTGGAGACTTTATATAAGGATGTGAAAGAGGGCAAAGAAAGAAACATAACCACACCTACTTCACTGTTTTCTACCTCCACACTGTTAGACAACTCATAAAAATGAGTCTTTGTTTTTTATTTCTGTACCTTACTAGTGATTGGATTACCACCCAGATTATGTCCCATAAATTATCTGCAAAGTTGAAACTTAATTTCCTTTAGCTTTCTTCTGAGTTCCAATCTTGGAATGATGGGGTTTTTAGCATGTAGGTGCATAGGTACAATTCCTAGGGCACCCGAGAGTTATTGGCTCTTAAAATAAAACATAGGCTCCACAGTTTTGCAAAATATCAATGTTTAATTGCCTGATTATAGAAAATATTCAAGGTTAATCATAAATATGTATGAAATTTCCATTACCTTTGAGAACACTTGTACATTAGATTTTCTCAGAGCACCATTTCTAAATAGATGTGACTGTCAGTTATAGTAAACTAAATGCTTATAAAAGTGAACTGTATTCCCATGGAGTTACCATATGACCCAGTAATTCCATTTCTAGTTATATATCCAAGTAAAATGAAAACACATCCACACAAAAACTGTTTCACAACTGTTCATAGCAGTGTTATTCATAAAACAAAAGTACCGAGGGGGTTGGTCAGCTTATCTACACTACTGGGAGAAGAACGGCGGCGATCGCTCAAGGTCAGGAGTTCGAAACCAGCCTGAGCACAGAGGAGACCTTGTCTCCTATAAAAATAAGAAAAGAAATTAAATTGACCCAACTAAAAAAGATATCAGAGAGAGAAAAAAACATTTAGACCGGGACATGGCGTGGCACATGCCCTGTATCCCAGCTATTGGGAGGCTAGGCAGGATGGTTGCTTGAGCCCAAGGAGTTTTGAGGTTGCTGTGAGCTAGGCTGATCACACAGCACTCAATAGCCCGGGCAACCCAATGAGCTCTGTCCTCAAAGAAAAAAAAAGCAAAAGGAGAATACATTGTGCTATACATCACTGAGTAAATGGATAAATAAAATGCTGTATAGCAATATAATGAATTATTGAGCAATACAAGGAAACATTGTGTACTGATACACAGTATAGACAGGATTGAACCTCAAAAAACACTATACTGTAAGTGAATGAGTAGGTCAAAAGAAGCCACATAGTATGATTTTATTTAGTATGGAAATAGGCAAATCTCATGGAGACAAAGTAGAATTAGTGTATTGCCCTGAGGGACTTGTGGGGGGGATGGTAAAGTGACTGCTAGTGGATGAAAATGTAAAATTGATTGTCATGATAGTTTCACAACTCTGTGGATATACTAAAAACCATTGAACTGATACTATCTTCCATATGTGGTAATAGATTAGAAATGGGGATAACTTGAAGTTTAACTCTATATAACGGCGCATCCCATTTAAAAAATGAGTATCAATCCTACACAAAAAATTTTAGAGCAACTTAATGGGGCTGGAGGGGAGAATAGGTACATTTACATCTTCATACAATATCAGAGTGAGTAATAATTCTGAAATCGTCAGTCCTAATCCTTACAGTCTTTACAAACTCCTATTCCTATTTTGCTGATATGACCTAATAGTCTAACCCAGCTTCTGTCACCAGAGGCCAGTAAAGTGTCACATGCTCCGTTGGGCGTAGTATCATTATAGTGTTTGTATCCCCTTTTTTGAGCATATAGATTGTGTGTAGTATATAATATACTTATAGTTACTGATATAGTAGTTCTACTCATTTCTTTTCACCATAAAGGTAATGCTATACTCTTTATTAACACTTTGGGGAGTTTTTCATTTTCTTTTTCTTTTTTTATTTGAGACAGAGTCTCGACTCTGTACATCATGCTAGACACGTTGGCGTCAGCCTCTGCCCAGCAACACATCAAACCCTGGGCCAACCAGTCCTCCGCCTCACCCCTCCCCAAGTAGCTGGGACACCTAGAGCCATATGCCACCATGCCCGGCTAATTTCTATATATGTTTTAGTTGTCCAGGTAATTTCTTTCTAATTTTTAGTAGAGACAGGTTCTGGCTCTTGCTCAGGCTGGTACACTTTGCTTTTTTCTCTTAAACATATATTTGTAAAGTATTCCATATTAATACGCAAATCTTTGATCTTATAGCATTTCGTTGTTTGGATGTATCAGAATATATTCTAATATGTTTGATATGACATGTCCTGCATAATTAAAGTGTCTAGTTTAATATCAGTAATTTTAAGTTAAACGGTTTTAAAATATGTATTAGTAAACTCATTTAATGTTCACTTTAATAAGGTTTTCCTTTAAAGGTTTTGATAACACAAAAGTTACAATCACCATACATATTTACTTAGATAAAAAGAAATTTCAATGATTTTTATCATTATCTTTACCATTTATATAAGCCTTCTGAATGCCTTATATGCAATACATGTTATATATACAAGCCTCTTAACTTGTATTGCGATATTGCTAAGCCTCTTAACTTGCAAATCAGCAAAATAAATTCTGTAAGAAAATCTGTACAATCAGATGTGTTTAGTAAATCTGTATGTGCATATGAGAGCCAGAGACAGATGGGTCAATCAAATGAAGAGACTAAAAAGACACTTTAATCAATCAAATTGAGCTTATTTGAATCCAGATTTAAACAAAAGCTTTTTTGAACTGATATATGGGCCAGGCATGGCAAGTCATGCCAGTAATCCCAGCACTTCAGGAGGCTGAGGCAGGATTACTTGATCCCAGGAATTTAAGGTTACAGTGAGCTATGATGGGGTCATTGCACTCCAGCCTTGGAGACACAACAATGCCCTTTCTCAAAAAAAAAGAAAAAACAATGCTGTATGAACCATTGGAACGTTGAACACTGATGGTATATTTGATGGCCTTAAGGAATTTTTATGAAACTAAATGAGTTTTTAAAAAATGAGAACCCTTACCTGTTAGACATTCTAAAATATTTGCCGATATAGTGAGATATGTATGGTGTGTGAAATCTTCAAAATTAAACTGCTCATGAATTAATAATTGTTGAGAATGACAGGGACTTGTGGGTTTATTATATTATTCTTTTTTTATGTTTCCAATTTTCCAGATAAAAGAATAAAAAATCCTCATTTATATTTTCATAAATAAATGGGAGAAAGCACATAAAAAGAAACTAGAAATCTTGAAAAAGAAGAAGAGTATTCTAAGAAATATAACATCTGATCAATATGTACTCTAGAAATATTGAATAAGGGAAGGTAATTTTCAAAGAAAAAACGCAGAATATGAGTTAACCAGTTAAAAGGGCCTATTGTATATCTAGCATATTTGATTTCAAAAATGAATAATATGGCAGAATTCTACTCTGTAAAACACTGGGTATAATGAAAAATCCCAAAATAAAAATAAGCCTCAACAGACTAGAGATTGAAAAGTCTTTAGATTTATCAACAGCAGCACTGGAAGTTGGAAGGTAATATAAAGCAATGTCTTCACAAATGTCAGGGGAAATGATTAATCACCTAGAATTCTCTATCAAGAGTGGTATCAAATAATTTACTTAACAGGTAGACTTTTTTTTTTTTTAAGGACACCTCCCCCATCAGAAGGAGGGAATGAAATAAACCAAGAAAGACTTGGATCCCAGAAACAGGGAATCTGACATGGGAGACAGGAACAGAATTTTTCAGGACAGTAGCTAAGATTTTTAAAACAACCTTACCAGACAGACACACAAGTGCAAGGGGCTCAGGAGTTACCTTCAAGAAAAGGTTGGGGGTAGGGACCTAATAGGTGGTCATGGGTCAAAATACTTTTTCTGTAAAGGAGCAGATAATACGTATTTTAAGCTTTGAGGGCCATTCATTCTCTTTTTTTTTTTTTTTTTTTTTTTTTGAGGGAGAACACAGCGGCACTCTAGCACCCCCCTACAGTTCCATATTTTGCGCTGGACCCCTCCCACCATCCACCATTGCTCTGGTATGTTTGGTCACGAAGGTGGAGAATTGGGATAATTTAGAAGGTTCAGTAAAAACTAACAAAGAATTTAAGCGATTTCCTAGTCATAGGACACGAAAGCTTGAACCGATAAAGAGGAAGGTGATAACAGATTAGACCGCCAATTTTTAAAACTCTAGTCTTGGCCTGGGCGCAGTTGGTACACGTGGGAGCGCCCGGCCCGAGTGCCCCACGGTCCCCGGCACCTGTAATCCTAGCTCTTGGGAGGCCGAGGCGGCGATTGCTCAAGGGTCCAGGAGTTCAAAACCAGCCTGAAGCAAGAGCGAGACCTCGTCTCTACTGATTAAATAAGAAGAAATTAAATTGGCCAACTGATATATATATAAAAAGGATT